CAACCCGGGCGAGCCTCCTCCATGCGGAAAGAACGGCTCCTAACATGGGACGCAATGCACGGAGACTCAACCCGAGCTTTCCTCCCTCTGAATTACCTGTGCTACCAATTTCTCCACCCCACACGACACAAACACCCCAGTACACCGGTATTCAAGTGTACTAGAAAAATGGTCGACAAGCTGGACCTAACACGGCGCCAAAAATTCCTACAAACAAAAGCCGTCTAAAATAAGCAAAACAGACATCCACCAAGCGTTACCGGTGCTGAAGGTTGACTAAAAACTGTGAATGCGGTCTTAGCACGACCCCACGACCCTCCAACCTTATCCTCTGTGTCTTGTGCGCCTTGGCGCCTGAGCTCGACGCTTGGTGTGGTGTGGTGCCTCGTGCTGTCTTGTCCGCCGCTGAGCGCCCGCCCTCGACCTCCGTAGCGTACGGGGGAGTTCTCTGAATGCACAGCACGGTGTGGTGCGGCCACATTTTTATAATGGGGTCAATATAACTTCATTAAGTATTATCCGATGAGAGCGCAGTAAGGATAGAGTAGTATATGTAGCTCACCGTCTCTTCGCAAGGTAAAGTGACGCAACTAGACTTTTATGCTTATTTCTGGATTAGTTAATACACTTGTTTGTCTGCGCTGCAGGATGTTTTTCTCTAGACGTTTCCTATCTCTGTGCGATACCAGCAATAGATTCAAGTTGCTGAAAATTCGGTAGCCCAAGAAAAGGAATAACAACAACTTATTTTTCAAAAGTGTATTGTGGATATTGACCAACAAATGGTACACAATACAAAGGCCGTGGTGGTTCCCAGAAATACAGGGTGGTCTCCCCGGGCGAGCGAGCGCCTGTCTGGCAAGTGGGCGTCCCGCCGGTAGGAGATTTCTACAGGTGTGATTTATTAATCATGGGCGAAATGACCGTGTTAGCGTAAATCACAGCCACCACATTTACGTTCAAACGAGCAGAGTAAATGGCGACCTCAACCTAACACATCGGTACAACGTTAGCGTACGTATTTTTGCAGTGAGAAAATGTAGAAAACAGTGACTTCAAGTTACTTAATCTGATAAATATAGCCAACAAAAAGTAAAAACAAACATTCGCATCATATTATCACAGTAAACAAATAAACATAATAAATAGAGTTATAGTTTCCTGGTCTTTGTACAAGGCTGCACGTGGTTTAGAGTTTTCCTTCTCTTACAGTTTTAGGGTTGACTTGAAATGTCGCCGAATTTTTAACTGGCAAAGAAGAAAGATGACCTAGAATGTCGCAGGGTGACAGACCCGCAGTTGGAAAATACATACAACATGAAATGTTTACATTAAAAATTTCATCATTAAGAAAGCCAAATTCTTCACAAATATGCACAAGTTTCTGCAAGGCCTTCAGACTTGGACATAGTAGACACATGTCGTCAGTATAGAAAGGAATATCTTATATATTAGAACCTACTTTCATCACAAAGATAATATCCTTTTAAAAATAGCTAAACTCATCCTTCGACAAGAACCCTTCCGCCTTTTGGTCCCTACTGAAGGAGTACTATTCTAATAACAAAGTACAAAACCATGAAATAATCTGACGAAAGCGTACACTCCCATTTTAGTAATCTTTATCTTACCTTACAGTTTCCAATTACATATCCAAAGTAAACTATTAAAACTAGTACAAAACAACTCATTGGATACACCTATTACGAAAGAGCAAGTAAAGACTGGCGAACCAGTACTTTAAATGGCTACTCCGACGACTCGGTGCAGTTCTTTCTCTTTCTTCTCAACTTTGGCTGTAAAGAAAGAAGAAAGGTTAATATACTACAAAGGATATGTCGATAGTGCAGCTATGCATTATTGACCTTCAAGTTCTCGTACTTTACGGGTTCCTGTGTAATATACAAACTTGCGAATACAAACCTTTAGGGTGCCATTCCTGTAAAACTGTTATGGATAGCCATTTCCATTCTCAAATAAACAAGACTATTAAAAGATAGATTGTGCGTTGTGCATACGGGGGGGGGTGGCATGTAAGGTAACATAGCCGATGTGGAAGAAATAAAACCCTTGATGTGACGAATATCGACAGAGCTGATCCGTTACAACTGTAACAGGTAATGCAAGCAAGTACTACCTTGTATTCGAAAACCAGCTCGTTGTTGGCACCCTTCTGGAATCGGAAGGCGTGCGGGCAGCTGTGCTGTTCCAGCTGGTTTGACACCTCTCCCATGTAGGCTTTCACATCCAGAATGGCATTCAGTTCCTCCGCTTGGATGTTCGGGTAGCTGGACTCAATGGTGTCGACCAGTTCTTCAACAGTCGTTGCATCCCGAATCCTCAGTTTTAATGCAATCTTGCTAAAGAACTGGTCGACATCCTCGTGGGTGTGACCCACCAACAAGTAGCCGACTTGCACCTGTGATTGATGAAGGACAATAATGTTATTAACTTGACGTATGTCTGAAATTAGACAGATAGTCAGTGAGTGGATAACATGACAAAAACGGAAGTTGTGAACATCATGAATGTGTACTGACCTCATTGAAAATATTCTTTAGCACAGGGTAGCTATCGGGGGGCAAGTGTTGCAAAATTACACATATACATAAACGGTTTTTCTCTCACACACAACACTGGTAAAAAGGTCTCACACAACAGAATTTTTTCTCTCCCACACAACACTGGTAAAAGGGTCTCACACATACAGAAATTTTTCTCTCCCACACAACACTGGTAAAAAGGATCACACATACAGAAATTTTTCTCTCCCACACAACACTGGTAAAAAGGATCACACATACGTGGATATATTTCTTCCGCACACAGAGGACTTTTTAAGGTAACATGCTGATAAAAGCATACTTCGTCGTGTTAGCGTACGACCTATGATATTGATGTAATGACAATGATAACAAATGATCCCCTTTCCATTAGCCTCCTTTGCAGGCGTGCATCGGCAGGGTGCAATGGCGTTGTTGTGGGAAGTGATGAGGAGGGCGCTTTGGTATGTTTGGAGATGAGTACTACTGTAGAATGGATAGTCACAGATCTACAAACCTTCTCTGTCACACATAAAAAAAATCACATGTCTACATGACAATCTCCAACATTTACATGCACTGTAAATTCGAACTAAAACTATTACAGGAATAGTCACACAGAGCAAAATTCACACCCCGTGATCACCAACAAAATTCCCTTTAATACAGCCACACATGCTATATTTCACTCTGACACAAGTCTCCCCCATAGGCCACGGACGTTATCATGAATGATGTATTTTATCCGACACACAACGCTGGATTTTTCTCTCACACACAGCAAAGATTTCTCTCTCACTCAGGGAGCCCCTTTCAGTCAGCGCTCTGAGTGAGCGATTTTTCCTCTGTGTGGGAGAGAGAAACTCTGTCTATGTTAGAGCGATTTCTACTTCAAGTTTTAGAAGATAAACTAACTTGTGATGTTATAACTTCAATATTCATCACATACATCACATATCAAGGCGGTTTAGAACTTACTTTAGTGAGCGATAAATTAATTCACATGCATGATTATTTTATCCGACACACAACGCTGGATTTTTCTCTCACACACACAGCAAAGATTTCTCTCTCACTCAGGGAGCCCCTTTCAGTCAGCGCTCTGAGTGAGCAATTTTTACTCTGTGTGAGAGAGAAACTCTGTAAGAGCGATTTCTACTTCAAGTTTTTTAAGATAAGCTAACTTGTGATGTTTTAACTTCAACACTGTGCGAAAGGGGGTGTTTTCCGGACATTTCTATGTTTGTATTCGCCCGGATGTGGAACGTTTCCGGGCCTATCCGGACAATATTCGGAAGAAACGTGCGTGCGTGTTCGGAGCATTTCCGGAGTCAAAATAGGGACCATAATACTATTCGGCATATCCGGACTCCAGGTAATGAAACGTTTTCGGACTCAAAATACGTTCTGAATATTCCAAGTTTCTTGACCGTGTTCGGAGCTATTACGCTCCAGATATATCCCATATGCTGGAGATTTCCGGAATCAAGAAAGGGACCATAATACTATTTGTCATATCCGGAGTTACAGATATGGAACGTTCTCGGGCCCTTCCAAAGCAAAACTCGTCCCGAATACTTTACATTTTCTGGCCGCGTTCGGAGCTATTACGCTCCAGATATATCCCATATGCTGGAGATTTCCGGATTCAAGAAAGGGACCATAATTATACTATTTGTCATATCTGGGCTTCCAGTAATGTCGCGTTTCCGGACTCATTCGAGACAAAACACGTTCCGGATATTTATTGTTTCCTGACCGCGTTCGGAGTTATTGCGCCCAAGAAAGGTCGCATATGCTGAAAATATTCGGAAACAAGAATCGGTTTTTTTTTTACTATTTCCCATATCCGGGTTTTCGGTAACGCAACGTTTTCGGATTAATTTCACTCAAAACACGTTCCTAATATTTCATGTTTTCTTAGCTCACTTGAGGCTTTTATGTTCCGGAAATAGTCCACATACTTAAGGTATTCGGAAACACTACTCATATTTGGATTTCCGGTAATGGAACATCTTTGGACTCATTTCAGACAAAATACGCTCCCGATATTTCGTGTTTTTTTACCGTATTCGGAGGTATTACAACCCAAAAAGGTAGCGAATCCCTATACTAGTATTCGGACACAGTTATCCGGAACCCTGCTGTTACGCCTCATTTCAGAACCTACAGTAACTTTGGTTTTCGGACTATGCAGGGACTGAAAATGTTCCTAACTGTTTTCCTGCTAACTCATTAGGCTACAATTCGTGATGAGTCTTAGAGGAAGTTTTTTTTCCACAAAATGACACAAGAAAGGCAGAAGGTTTAGAGGAACAGAGCTTGTTAAAAAACGATCAGACATGATCGATCATAATCAAACACGAAACAACGAGTTATCAGTTCTATCTACACTTATACACTTATTAAGTTATAACCCTACACCCTAATCTACACTTAATACTCTTAAAAAACAACCTCACCTAGACTTTAACTTTACATTCTAAACACGCTAGCCCTATCTTCTTTCTCTATTACTTATAAATTAACTTTACATGCTAAGCTTACTAAAAAGTCACTACACTAAACTAAACTATAAAAACAGTACTAATTACTTTACTAATAAATCCTATCCTACACTTATCCTATCCTACACATATCCTATTCTGTACAAAGAGTTCCTTTCCAACTGAAGACGTTTCACTCGTTGTCGTCGTCCTTGTCGTCCTCGTCGTTTCCCCTGTTGCTGTCAGTGTTGCCCCCGTTGCCATCGGCGATGTCCTCGTTGCCCTCGACGCCGTTGTTCTCGTCGTCGCCATTGTCCTCTGCACCCTCGTCAGCATCCCTTCCCTGGTCCTCCCTGGCCGGATCCCAGGTGTAGTCCTGGGCAGCCCGCCCTGCTGGAGGCTGCCTGTCGGTGAAGTCTCCGGATTTAGACTTCCTCTCCTTGCTGGAGAATGGGAGGCGTCGGTCCTTACGGTTCTGGTCGAGGACCGCCTGGCACAGTAGCACCAAGTGCGTCAGTCTGGGTGCCCGCCACTCAGGCGGCTTGACCCAGACGACGGACTTGTCGTCTGTGTCGCTTTCCTCGTCTGACATGAAAAGCTGTCCAGAGTTCTTCAAGAATTCGCAGTCATCCTCGTTCAGGACCTCTGCTGACACGCGACCTCTGCTGACAAAATAAAAAAAAAAACTCAGGCTGGAATCTAATATCAGCATTTATCCATAACAAGAATAAAACTGTTGGCAGTTGGTTTGGATGGTCTCAGGAAATGTAAGCATATACACGTCAGAGCGGGACGTTAACCCTTAATTGGTAACATTACATGTAGCTTGCTTAAACTTTAGGTACTAACCACTAGAGAGGAGGTCCCTTCTTATGGTGACAAGATCCGGGCTCGTTACTATGCCAAACTGATGCAGAAGCTCTGGAAAAGGATTAAAAAATAATGCTTTATAGTACAGTATACTGTAAGTCCAGTTATGTTCACGAATGCTTTATTTCACGAGATGGAGCAATTTGGAAGTTCACGAGGTCTATGACTTCGCGAGTCGGTAATTTTTAACAAGGCGTTACATGTCTGCAAATTTACCGACAGTCAAGAATTTTTTTTCCGCGTGAGGTACGTGCGAGGTACGCGCGGTTAGAACATGGTTCCGTGGACATGACACTGTCCAGACTGAAGCCCATCCATGCGAACTGGGTCCTGGGAGCATTGGACAGTATCGCCAACAACATGGACATCGCCAGGGGATGGGACCGCACAGAGATCTGAGCCGCTGTGAGCCGACGGGCGCGTGAGTAAAAACAAAAGCCGCCGCCATGTTTGAACTTTCGGCTCGCAAATTTTGCCAACTTCTGCACAGTAGTCCTCGCGTAAATCATCTTTAGTTGTGAAATTTTAGCGCACTGTTCTATAAATTTGCTGTTTGGTAACGTTTTAAACCATGTTGATTCAACAAGTTGTAAAAAAAAAATAAAAAAAATCAAGCAAACTTAGACCATTAGACAACGCGCTATGTAAACAAAGGCCGCCATGTTGGATTTCTTGTAATTTGTCGATCGGCTCGGCAGTTACTCGGCGGTAGATTTTCGTGCAATTCTTCCCTATAGATACCTGTTAATGTTGTATATGTAGCGTAAATTTTCTTGGGATGTATGGAAATCTTGTGAAATGATTTTTTTGCGTGTAGCTTTGGTGAGTAACGTTGAACTCGTGTAGTTTGATCTCTCGAGGTATAGACAAAGACCCACGCTATCCCGCTTGGTTCTATTTTTTTGCCGATTTTCCGTACCGTAAATAATTCTGCTTTACATGGCTTGTACACGACAACAACTTTTTACCGATGTATGTTGTAAAATTCCGTATGTACGATGTTGCACATGTTTACAGCTGTTCACCGCTACGTTATCGCCGAACTAGCGTTCTTGTTAAAACTGATGTTGTCTAGTCGGCTTTGTAAACTTTTACCGTTCTTCGCAAGAAACACTTGTATTACCAGTAACAAAATAATGACTCCGTGAACCATATGCTCATTGAATAAAGTTTATTTGATTCTGAAAAGAAGTCTGCTGTTATTCGTTGAGTCTTGTCATTTACTAGTACTACGTAATGTAGAAGTTGTTAGTATAGAGCTGAGACGCACGATGTTTGGGGGAGGGGGGTGGTACGTACCGAATGGGTTCGCGAGGAGGTGAGTTCACGAGAAGAGCGTCTTCGTGAAAACCGTGAACTTAAAGATTTCGTAATCAAAAATGGACTTACAGTATTACAAAATATGCAGTAGATGGTTTGACTTTTTCTAAAGCTGAAAGGTATCTAAACAACAAACATATTCTCTTGGCAACTGGTACTAGTAATATATGTTCATATTTGCTAAACTAATTGATCCTGACCAATATTGCAAGCTCATACTTGTCAAGTTAATGTCAGTGCGTCATTTGTCTTTTTTTGGCGACGCCTCAGGGGCGGAGCCGATAGTATAGTACTGCGATCGGGACGAAAATATTCCAGGAATTCCACGAATTAAACGAATGCATTCCCTAGGGAATTGGTTTTTGGCAAGTAGTTGCTTTGTTTTCACAGGCTATTGCGGAGCCGATAGTATAGTACTGCGATCGGGACGAAAATATTCCAGGAATTCCACGAATTAAACGAATGCATTCCCTAGGGAATTGGTTTTTGGCAAGTAGTTGCTTTGTTTTCACAGGCTATTTGAGCTAAAAAGATATGTGTTTTTCTGGGCATACATGTAGATGGGCTATTTTACTTGCCTACACTATAATTGAGGCGGAGCCGATAGTATAGTACTGCGATCGGGACGAAAATATTCCAGGAATTCCACGAATTAAACGAATGCATTCCCTAGGGAATTGGTTTTTGGCAAGTAGTTTGCTTTGTTTTACCGTTACAAAAGAAGCAGCTGAAAAAGGGTTACATTTGTACATAAAGCTGACCTTCGTGAGCTGCTACTACTGCTGCTGGAACTGGAACTGCTGGAGGGGGTCGGGCTGCGCTCCTTCCTCTTCTTTTTCTTTCCGTTCTTGTTCTTCTGTGATGGCATCTTACTCAGAGACCTGGGCAACACAATGAATCTCATCTTAACATGATCCAACAATACGCTTTGGATCCTTCAGTAGAACAACTGGAACAACTTGAAGACATGTTACCAAAGCAGAAGCGTAACTTTTTACATCACCAAAAAAACAACAAAATTTGAATGGCTTTTTCATCTTGTATATCTTACAAACGACAAAGCTTCTACTCGCAATTCTTAGAAAGTTGAAGGGCTAAACTTTTGCTGACATAGAAAACAATAACGTCAACCCAACTTGGACGCCATTTTCGCTCTGTCAACTGTCAGCTCAACAAAATCCCAGAAGCCATCTAAACCAAGGTCCACTGCTCCTGAGGAACCCCTCACCCTCCAGTCAGTTTCTGTATGCAACAAGCCCCCCCCGTTTTCTAACACGCTTTTCCGTTTGGGCACATCGTCGTTTTCGGCGCTGCACTGTTCGCTCTGCCCGTTCACTGCGGCTTCTCCCTCCCTCCTCTCTCGTCTTACTGTAGCTCAAGTACTTGATCAAAACCCAATCTACATTACCATTATCCCACTGCTTACTAGGCTTACCCTAAACAAAATGCCTGTGACATACTTGCTCGTTATTTAACTTTTCCTCAGTCAAGTCTGCTCGGCTTATCACAGAGAGGTTGAAAAGCTGTAGTTATTACCAAGTGCCATGGCTACCACATACTGCTGGCACCCCAAGATGAGAGGTAAAAGTGATTCTCTCGTCTCACTTGCAGTTTTGATTTTAAGTTGCGTAGGAAAAATTAATGCTCCCTTGCTATCTCTTCTCAAAGTAATTCCACTGTTTCTTTCTACCGACAAAACACCACCAGGAACCTCCAAGTTACCAAAGAGCTGTCCCCCTCCCCACGTGCCAGAGATGAAAGATGATGGTGGAAGTTGATCAACGGACACGGAAGATACAAATGTAGATATTACTAACACAATGACAGAGTCTCCTACCTCTTCCTCTTTTCCTCATGTTTGCGCTTCGCAGAAGGACATCTGGATCTAACAAGACAACAGACAAGAGAAAATGCTATAAATACAGAGACATGTAAAACACAAATATAATACAACACATTGCCGTTTTGATGACGTTTTGCAAGTTATCTGGGTTCCTAAGTCAAAAAGATAGAAGTGTTCGCTGTCATTTGTAGCCACCATTGCCGAACAAAATGTTTTACAATGATGACTGTAACTCCCATTACCGTTGTATGTTACTTTCAATGTTAGATACTTCAACTGATAAAAGAAAGTTGACCATTTTATAAATGTACGTACTTAGCTCTCCTGTACCTTAACCATGAAGCTATAAACTGTAGATCTTTTGAAGAAAAAAAGACAAAGTGCTACGTTGTAACCCCCGTTACCTGTAACCCCCGTTACCAGTCATAAACCTTCAGCTGAAAGATGACCTTCATCTGTCATTTCCAAATGTCTTTATAAGTAGGGACCAAACAATACAACTTCAAAAATCTCTTAGTGGGTGGCACTCTTAGGGGCAGCCGCGTTTGATATGGCACTCTGTCAAATGTACCAAAATATTTAGTTTTTCAAATGATAGAAGTGGTTTAGCCTAGTCAATATATTGACTAACATTTCCTGGATGTCTGAGGGCCAGTTTTTACCAGACCTGGACTGTGTCGGGCAGAATCTGCCCTTTTTGTGTCGATCTTCACAACGTATACAATGGCTCCATGGACGACACCACCGTCACTGTTATACTTTGTCACTTTCCTGCGTGGTTTAAAAGCTGCAGCACTGCCAACCGGCCCAGACCTCAACAAGCATTTGCTAAGCCTGTGTCCCTGGAAATTAAGAAGCAGACCGAGGGAGAAAAGGGCAGACAAGAACTTTCAACGTAAAATATCTACAGTTATTGGCAACAGATATTCATTATGCAAATCTAAGGTGTCCATTCCCGACCTAAGCCGGTCACATGTAGACGAATGTAAATCAGGTAGCAGGTTGCGTTCATCACACCTGCGTCTCATCAAGACTGATCCCTTGAAACGGTCTCGCCCAAATGAAATGCCGAACATTTTGTTGACGAATGCGCGTTCGTTGACCAACAAATTAGACAAATTTCGCCTTGCCCTGTCGTCTAATAAAATTGATATCTCAGTGGTAACGGCTGGATGCAATAGCCAGAAAGCCACTAGCTTCGGCACCAGCAAGGTTGAACCTTGCTGGGATCTCCCTAAAGAATGGCGCAGTGGCGCTGCGCCATCCTGCTCTTATCCCAGCGCCATCCTGTTGCTTTTCAAATTCAGGGAATTTATTTCCACATTTCCCCGTAAACTTGGTCGTGATTGACTTTTCTTCGAAAGAGCGGCGTGGATCAAGCCGCAAATTGCGTGGTTCGTGCCTCTAAATGGTCCCTATTGTCTGCACAAATCTTGTGAACTGCCCATGAATTATCGCTCTCGCTATGACGCCACAAAGAAAACATTGTCATTGATAGAAAATCAGACACCTCAATGGCATTTTATAACACAATTTCCATGTAAACAACTTCGGCTGTCTTTATTTAATCGTCAAAGAAAGCGTGTCGGTACAACATTGTCAACAAGTTGAACAACAACAAAAAAAGTCCCGACCGCATGGCATGGTACCTAGCATCCAACTCTCGGCAACACATCAGAAGAAATTGATTCGCCCTAAGAATAGAAACCATCCATGAAAAGAACAACTAGAACTTCCTTTTCCTCATGATATGAGTTTTGAAGCTGTAAAATGTTCCAAAAGGTTGAAATTTGTCCATAAAAACTGCTCTAAACATTTGGGGGAAGCCGCGACGCAAGCTGCGTTTTTGCACAGGAGATCAGGGGCCAGAGGTCATCGCGCATGCGTGCTTTATCTTAATAGGGATAGCATCAGAATGTAGGGTACATTAGAGTATAACAACATATTAAAACGATACAGTGAACGCAGGACAAGTGTATTCTCGACAATAATAGAAATAAAAATTCAACAATATTTTCTAGAAGGTTTACTAGAAAAACATACCGTGAGATGTTCCAAATTTAGCAGCTTCTGCCTTCTGGTGTCAAAATGGTTACTTCCTATAATGTGCGTTTGGATGCTGTATCAGGCTTTAGTACTGTATGTAGTACTTTACAGTGTAGCCAGTCAGTATTGTGGATGCAAGTGTGTAACAAAAAACTTTTTTTTGAGCAGGAGTTTATGGACATAACCATATTTTTGTTTGTTTAGCTGTGTTAAAGCATCTATTGGTACGAAAAAATCTATTCACATTAAAAAATAACATCTTGACAGATTTACAGTGCAGTATGACAAGAAGAATATGGTTTTCAACATACGACCTTTATTGCACTTGACCTTGCTTAACCCTGTTCAAACGGGGGGGGGGGGTCTTTGAGGCCCGCGCCAACTTTCATTTTGTGGACTGATTTGCTACTGTGCCCGTGTGTGGATACGGCCTTCGCCCATAGAAAGAGGTCCTTGTTGCGTGCGCCGGCAGTTTTATCTTGGCCGACATTGCCATGTGGAAGACACCAAACTGGTGATCAATCAAGGTTTAGCAGAAACAATGACACCTCAACCGCTCCATTAATATTGACTAAAGCAGTTTCTGCTTCCTTCAAAGTATGCTGGAAGGTGTTCCACATTTCCCGAGCAGTTTTGCTTGTGACTACATTATAGTGATGGTGTGCTCTGTCGTATATTAATTCAGTGGGTCTATCATTACATTTGCCTTTTGTTAAGGGTACTACTAGGTCCGTTTTAAGGGCCTGGGAATCCCTAAGAGAATACAGTGGTTTTGGAAGTCCTTGTGTTCCAGGAATTTCTTTTGTTTGGCCTTCATATGTTCCTTGTGCAGCAGGTGGTCTTCTTTACTAATAATACATGGTTTATTGACCAAACATCACCCGTGCAATTGCAGCCTTATAGTGCTGAATTGATGCAGGGTTTACAATCAGATGATACATGTATGTTTTTCTCATTGTTTCTCAGTTTCCTTTTTTCCATATAAAGTGAACTGTTATAGTATATATAAATATGACTCACGTGTGGCCAAGGAAGACAACATCCGAGTTGTAGGCGTTCTTCCTCCAGCAGTGGCGGGCATCAGACAGCACTTTCAGTCCCCTGTAGTGTTCTTCGTCTTCATTTATTACACTTGCTGTTATTTCCAATGACAGGTAAAGAAATAAATGGGCAACTAGGTGTACGAGTTCAGCATAGCCCTGCCAAAGATGGAGAATGCCACCTTGTTTGACCATTTCATCGTTGACCGAAGTACATTGTAGTTATCGACATCCACATATGATTACACCCACATTACATGCATAATGCCGTTGGGTAACATTGTACCGATATCAATTTAGGGTATATCAAGCAAAGTGATTTGCCTATTATTTTTATTTTACATAATATGGCATAAAAACCATATATAGTCTTTTCAGTCGGCGTCGGACCATAGAGCAGCCTGTGGTTCACGTTAGTTTGGTACAAACCAGCTATTATGGAAACACATTTTGATAATACCTTGCCATCGTACATCCCGTCTAGGTCCAGAATTTTCCCATCTGGATGAATAAATTAGCGTCCATTCCTCCAAGGCCGGACTATCTTCGCAGTAGGGACATTGTGTTTCAGTTGGGCAGATCTCCTCCAGATGGGATAGATTTGAGAATATTATTTCCTTTTTCTTCCGTAATCCCGGTCGCGGATTTCCTCGTTCATCAAGGTTGTCTCTCTTGGTAGTCCGGGTAGTTTTGCCTTCATTTCCCGCCCGAACATAAGCTTGTACGGGGTCTCGCCCGTCGTCACCTGCGAGGTTGATCTGTAAGCCTTCAGGAACTAATGAATTTCCTTTTGAACATTTGCTAGAACAGTTTAGTGTGTTCTGATGTAGTTGATCATAGCCGATATAGATGGGAACGATTGTTTCAGATATACCTTCGTCCTCTATCACGGTTTTCACTAGGGTGAGCCGGCGGTCCCCTAAGATCAAGGCGTTTAGAAGATCAACGAACTCCCATGTACTTCTCCCCGCCTACTAAGGGAGTTGTCTTTCTGCTATGATAGGCGTACTTGAGCTTCTTGGTGACCTGCTTTAGCGTTCTGTTGTATCCTTGCTCTCTCATTCCCCACGCGATTTGCTCGTAGGATTCCGTTTTCTTAACCGTCTCCATCTTGTTTTTAATTCGTCCTTGTTCTAGAGACCGATATGAGACTCGCTGCTTAAATTATCTTATGTTTTACTGTCTTCCTGGCTATAACTTATAAGAAATGTTCATCAAATACAAATGTACAGATTTCCACTCTCTCCTTTGTCTCAGAGTCGTACATTGTATAAGACATCATCTGGCCCATGTCTGTGAGCAATGCCTTCTCAAAGACGACTGCTTTCAGTGACAGTGCCTTGTGAGGAGGCGAGTCTATCTTGAGCCATGTTGTTGTTGTCTCCTCCTGGCGTTCTGTGGCGTTCTCTCCTGTTGCAAACTCCTCCGGCCCGTCAGACACATGAGTACCGTCAGAGAGACCTTTCTCTCCTGTTGCAGTCTCCTCCGGCCCGTCAGACACATGAGTACCGTCAGAGAGACCTTTCTCTCCTGTTGCAGTCTGCTCCGGCTCGCCAGACACATGAGTACCGTTAGAGAGACCCTTCTCTCCTGTTGCAGTCTGCTCCGGCCCGTTCATCCAGCTCGTATCACCATTAAGACTCAATTTCCTCATCCCTGCTCCCTGCTCCATACCATTTGATGTATGCTAACTCATAGCCTTCAACAAGAATGTAAAACTGAACTCTCCCGAAGTAAACTCCACCAGGAGAACAACTGACCACAGAGTGGTCTGTATTCAAGTATTTTTTGGTGAATACAGTCAAAAATAAAATTTAAAAAAAAAACATAACACAGGAGAATATTATCACGACCAGTAACCCATTTTTAACATGATACTTACATAGTGGTCCACGAAATCATCATGTCTTTCTATTGACATGTCTCAAGCAAAATTGGACATCATTTCTGGTGAAGCTTTGGAGGATAGGCTAAACGCGCGTCTCCAAGTAGTCGAGGTAGACTGGAAACCCTGCAGCTTGATCTTTTGCGTTATCTAGGAGGGTTTCAAACAGCATGTCGCTTGTAGCAGATGTTACACCGTCTTTTCGCTGTTAGGCTTCCATACCTACAGTGTCCCGCAGATAATCTGCCACATTGCTCTTTAGATGCCTGACGCAGCTGATACGCGCGCCTCAGTTGGGGAAAGCGGCCAGAACAGCCTTCCGCATACCTCGCTCGTCGTCCGTGCCTACAACTGGCTGGTACTCAGTGTCCAACTGACTAGAAATGTGGCAGAAAAACTCAGCATAAGATGAAGAAGTTGAGTTGTCATGGATAAACATTGGCCCTGGGAAGATCGGGTTCTCCCCTGTGGCTCTACGCTTAACAGCAAGATGCTTAAAGGCACTGACTGTGACGTGGACCTCCCCGAGATTGTACGTCTGTCAAATGCCAAGACTGTATTGATGCCTGCCGATCCGGCACAACTGTTCTTTTGTATAACATGTTAGTGTTGGAACTTTGTCCTTACTGGAGCAAACCCTTTGGACGAAGGGATCGTACAGTACTCTGTTTTCCAGCGCCTGTATGTCTGCAATGTTCCCTCTGAAAATTCAGAAAATCCAAGAAAATTCAGAAATGCCTTTCAAATACTAGTAGTGTAAATGTACAAATGTATACTTAAAAGTTTGATGTACAAATGTGTGTTGTTTATTGAGCATATAATTAATACTTTTTATAAAATGTAGAATACATACCTGGGTGTTTTACTTTCAAGTCAAGTAAATATGTCAGTTCCCGTGCTTGGGTTCTGGCCTTGTCGAGGACTTGCGTCATTGCTTCCTCAACTTGCTTCAAGATTCGCTGATATTTAGGATCATACCATAAACCAGTCTGCATAAATGCTGTTTAGACTTACATGTGGGTTCTTGTAGATGGGAGTCTGGTGAATCCACCCGGTGAATTCTTAATTTCCTTGTAAATATTACTGTCAAAATATGAGAAGAAACTGTGTACAGATGATCCACATGTATGTGAAAAGTTTTAAATTTTTCCTTGGTTGTTAAATAAAACTTGTAAAACATCCTGTTTTTCTATACATTGAACAAGATTACGGGAATGCTGGTTACACTCTGCTTTGAGATCTTTCAGACTGTAATGGTCCAGATCCTGAACTAATTTTCCCACAGTTTGTGTTTAGTTTTAGTTTTAAACAAATTTCTACAATGGGCTCTCCCAGCATAGATGTGCTCTCCCATCATGTCTCTCACAATCTAAATTTGCATCAATATCACATAAAGAGCCAGAAGAGGTTTCAGAGACAACAAAAACATTTGACCTGTTCCTTTGTCCAGACTTCTTTCTTTGCTCTGATTGTACTACTACTGACTCTTTACCCTCAGAACATACCTGCTCACTAATTTGGAGATGGTTTGACATCATTTCAAAATCTTTCAGAATAGATTGCTAAATCTGTATCAGAATCCGAAGTAAAAATGTTGGGTTCATCTCGTCTGTCTTCCTTTGCTTCTGTCTCTGACATAGTAGTATCTGTTAAGTTTGATGGCAGATTATGTGGTAGTAGTAGTGATTGGTTTATTTCATTCTCACAGTAAAAAAACCACAGTTTCGCAGCGCGCAAAATTGCGCGCTGAATTACACTGGTTATACAATAGTTAACTCATGATTTACTGATATTCAATCACTAAAACATTATTACACGGAAATTCGCCAGGTATTTGAAATTACTCATATTTGAATAAAAGTTACTGTACTTACGATCAACTAGTTAATAATACTTTACATCGTGTGGAATATATTCTCGGAGCAATCATCAATAAAATATCTGTCATTATTACAATAAAGGCTAAAAATTCATTTTTAAGAAGATTAAGACCACAGTCAGCAGGCATAAAAAACTATTTACAATATTTCGGTAAACGACTAAGACATATTAAGTAGTGCTACCATGTAAGGTATAGGACTTTTTTTGTAGCGTTCGGTTTTTGTTTTGACAGTGTCCAAGTGGGAGCTTATCACCATGGCCTTGCTCGAATTTGTCTGTTATTAACTAACACTTCTCAAACATCCCGTTTTTCTATACAGTTCACCAAACTTAAGGAATACTGGTTACACCATGGAGGACACACAGCCTTTAAATACCTTACACTGAAGCACTCAAGCCTCTGATACAATTCCATTGCACTAATTGTTTCTTCTAAAAAGGTCTGAATTTCTACTGCGTTATCTTTTATCTTTCACTTTGTGACAGTTGATTCGTCCCTCACAGCGTTTGACCACGTCTTTAACAAAAAAAATGCATTTGGGTACTGTTCTAGTGCCTCATTTTGCAGAAACAATGACACCTCAATCGGTCCATTGACTGAAGCAGTTTCTGCTTCCACCTTTCCCGAACAGTTCTGCTAGTGACTATATTATAGTGATGGTGTGCTGTCGTATAATAATTCAATGGCTCTATAATAATTCAATGGTTCTATCATTACATTTGCCTTTTGTTTGGGGTACTACTAGGTCCGTTTTAAGGGCCTGGCATTCCTTTATGGGCCACCATGTTCATCACAAGTGCTTTGGCCTGCAGGTCACATGTGCAGGCCACTAGGTATGCCTTACATGTAAAGGGCTCCATGCCAGGGGGTCTCACTTCAAATCCTGAAATTAGACAACAGTTCAGCTTACAGGGTGTAAAATGCTTTCTTTTGTGTCAACCTACACTGGTGCAGGTAAGATGAAAAACTACCGGTACTAATTTTCTATTAAAAAAAAAATTACCAAGTTACCAACTGTAGTGGCTTAAGGATAGGAAATAGCTTAGAAACCTTAATTTATTAAACATTTAACGTGTTCGTTCGAGTGATAATAATCAGTACAGCAAACAGTTACAAGTCAATGACATAGTGCTGCAAGAGGACCAGTGCCAGAAATAACTGCAGTCATCTCCTATTTTACCTGCAAAACGTCCATGTATGTATTTGTATTGGACAACCAAGTTTCATCTGGAAACAATTTATAAAAACAATGTCTTTCTTATTTCTTTTTGCCAAAATGCATCAAAACAAAGGCAATGCATATACTAGTGCCTCACAGTATTCTCCAGGTAATTGTGATAAGCATACAGTGTGTTACTAGTCTAAAAACCCATTACCTGTCATGATACATGTGGCTAACATACACTTTAGGCAATGAACATTAGGCCACACCAAGTAAATTTTATGGATGACGTCCGCGCGCGCATTGATTTTGGCCTGTTCCTAGAAAAAAAAACCGCTTCCTGTTACTATGACCAAAGAGTCACGACAGTGCCGCAAATCATCAGATTGACGTGAAACCCGTAACGCCGAAAGCCTGTGCCTGGTTAAAAAATGATAACAAAAATGAAAAAACAAACAAAATGGCACTGAAAAAAATCCTGTCAATAGTTCCAAGAAGTCGGAAGATGAAGTTCTACTGTGAGACGTGCAAGTGCCCCAGCCTCCCTACAACAAGCACCTTGCCGTCTTCCTGAAATGCGAGGCTGATGCCAAAAGCTTGTGGTCATGCCATGCCTCAGCCGAGCTACGGCTGATTCCTCAAAAGAAAGGTGTGAAGAAATTTATTCGTACGGTTGACCAGAATTTCTACAACAATGGGAGCAGCTGGGGGAGGAAGGAATTCATGCCTTGGCACGAGGTGTGTGATCCCCAGAAGGGATACATCAAGGATGACAAGATCATACTGGAGGCCTACGTGAAGGCAGATGCTCCATGTGGTGAGAAGGAGATCATCGTTGACAACATTGACAGCGAAGAGATGGAGGAAGAGCCTCAAAGTCAGGCAACTGTTCGTTTCACCATGAAGAATGTCAGTAAGGTCACAGAGAGGAAGTTCAGTCATGCAGTCTTCATCCAAAACCTCCCATGGAAAATACTGGCCAAGCCCTCTGGTGACTTCAATTATGCCTGGCTACCCAACAAGAACCTTGCTGTCTTCCTTCATTGTGATGCCGAGTCCAAAAGCTTTTGGTCCTGCCATGCTTCAGCTGAGCTGCGGTTGATCCCTCAGAAGATAGGTGTGCAGCCATTGACACGTAATATTGACCATATTTTCTACAACAAAGATAGGAGCTGGGGGACTACGTGCTTCATGCCGTGGCATGAGGTGTGTGATCCACAGAAGGGATACATCAAGGATGACAAGATCATACTGGAGGCCTATGTGAAGGCAGATACTCCTCGCGGAATGAAGGAAATCACCCTGGGCAACATTTTCGGTGAAGAAATTCATGAGAAGATTGAGTCAGTACCTGAGGCAACCATTCATTTCACTGTGGAGAACTTCAGTGAAGTCAAAGAGCTAGAGAGGCGGTACACTAACCCAATCTTTATCCGTAACCTGCCATGGAAAATAGTGGCCAAGTATGAAGAGGACACCAAAAGCCAGCCACCAAACAAGAAGACTCTTGGCTTTTACTTGAAGTGTGATGCCGATTCCAACAGCTTCTGGTCCTGTCGTGCATCAGTCAAGTTTCGGCTGATACCACAGAAGGCAGGGGTAAACATTCAATAAGGGTAGTAAATCATGTCTCCTACAAGAATGATGGTGACTGGGGGTATCCCAAGTTCATTCCGTGGCACGAGGTGTGTGATCCACAGAAGGGATACATCAAGATCATACTAGAGGCTTATGTGAAGGCAGATGCTCCTTGTATCCTAGCTGGATGTCTCAAAGAAGTGGCTTAGGGACAGAGGGTTCAATTTGATGATAAATAATCAACACTTGTCTGTAAAATATACTGCAGACTACTGTAGGCGCGGAAAGTATATGACCAATGTCTGCCCTTCTTGTTTTTTTTCGCCCTCTCGCATTAGATTTAGGGTCTCCAAAGGACGTCACCCATAAAATTTACTTGGTGTGGCCTTATTCAGAAGGTAGGTGAGTGAAATCAAGTAGAAAGAAAAAAACTTACCAAGTCTTCGTTCTTGTGATGTGCTGGTAGTTGGAGGATCTTGTCACGTACGTGGATGAAGAACTCCTTTGGCCCTTCCAAGTCCTTGTTTTGCTTCTGTTTTTCTTCTGATGTGTGGAGGAATCCACCTAGTAGAACTTTCCCAAAGAGTTCTGTCATGTCCATGTCACTCATGGACATGTGCTGATTCCCGACTGTGTTGTTGCAGGTCTTGGGTGGTCTGCGCTTTTCTATTAGCAGGTTTTGGAGCCTGAAATTTATGAAGTACGTCATTAATCACATTTGTCAAAATCACAATGTTGAATGCTATGGCAATTTTTTTAAATTTCCCAAATCTTACTGCACTGTAAATATTGCTTATTGATGTGTGGTACTTGAAGGCGCCCTAAATATTGTTGTCATGAATGCTTGGTTTTGTTTTTGCACGTCTTACAGGAACATGTTTTTGTGTTGGGGTCTTTCCAAGCATCGTCGTGACCGTGGTATTTATCCAGCGACTTGACATGGCCTTCAGGGCGTCAGGGTCCTTGTCCGCTTAGACGACAAAGCAGAAAATAAAAGGAATTCTTGCTTGCCTGTTGAACGCATCTGAAATACACCCACAACCCTTCCTATGGGACTTTCCCTCACATACGCACTTGACAGATGTGATCGATGGGAATTCTGTCTGATATTTTTACTTGTAGTCTTTTGTAACCGACTTCTGGACTTTTATGTCCGACAATTGCATGTTGATGTGACCGCGCCACGTGTCCAGAGCAGCGCATGACCTTATGTTTACCAACATAGGGGAAGCCAGACTCCTCTCTAGATCTGCTATCTGCTGGTCTGTCTGAGCTGGCTGCTCCCAGTTGAACTTTAACTTCTCGAGCCTGCCTGTTAAACCTCACTATCTATGCTCAATACATTGCATTTAGTACTCAATAAAGACCATGACTCCGGGTGTTGGCGGTTAGCCCCCGCCTGAGGACACATGAATATAACGTAAATATTCAGATAAATTTAAGTGGATAGGGTGGGCGGGATAACGAGTTAGCTAAGCGCTCTGGCCCTGGCTAGGAGCGAGTGACGCACCACGAGTGACGTGACGCGGTGCACCGTGTCAGATGTGGCCAGATAGTGTTTCGCCCGTCAATTACACGATACTTAAGGGAATATCACCTGAGATAAAAAAAAATCAACTCTAAGTCAATTTTAAGAGTTGCCAATGCCTACTTTTAAAGAGAAATCAGTGCTAGATCTGACCAATATAAAAAATGTTACCTGTTAAAGGTGGGCGAGTCAGTGTATGTTGTAACCAGGTCAGCTGCACTGTCCAGGTCAACCTTCTCCACCGGGTGTCGTCTCTGCCTATACAGTGGATACCACACATCCACCGGGCACAGGTTCTTCCCCCGAAAGGACAGACTGATGACAGGAGCTGTAATTGGTGAATGAGAAGACATTTGACACATTGTACATGAACAGGCACAGAACGGGACAGGCACGGTTTGGGACACAACACCCTGCCTTCAAATTTTCTTCAATGGGATAGGTGGTCATCGGAGGCACAAATCTGTTGGAGGATGTTGGACTGGAGAGATCTGTCTGTTGTGGAAACGGGTCCGGTTGTGGACTGGAGAGATCTGTCTGTTGTGGAAACGGGTCCGGTTGTGAAAAAATACATCTACAATACCAAACTGTTACATCAAGTCGTCTGTGATATCCTCTGCTGACTCCGACTGCCCCAGATCAACAGCCTCGAAGGATCAGGCTGAGTCGCAAAGTCGGTGATGTCTATTCCGCTTAACCCTCAAAGTCCGTTCGGAGAGGTATTTGTACAACTTTGCATCGCAGAGGTCCACACCTCCCATGGACTTGTTGTACTTAAGAACCACCTTTGGCCTCTTTGTCTGATGACCAGCCCTGGTGACAACATCTTGGAAACTTCCGGATGCTGCTGTGCTAAGGCAGTATGGGCTTCTTGGTACCATCTCTAGCTCTGTAGACAACTCAGACAAGTGGTCCTTTCCGACGCTCAGCCGTCTGATGGTTTGCCGGCCTTTGGTTGACAGCTTGCTTCGGGAGTCCTTTTCTGTCGCCCCTTCCCTGTACAGTTCGAGGAAGTTGGAAAGAAGAAGTTCTTCACACGAAGGTGGTGGCCCCGCCGCGGTTGTTTTAGTCTCAGGAGCAGAAGATATGTTTGGAGCACTGTTGACACGGTCTTCGCTTTATGGCGGTCAGACGGTGAATGGTGCCGGTGAACAACTCTCCTGATTCGTTTCTAAGTGCGCTTCGCGAAGTCCACTTATTTTCGGGCGGGGTTGACTAAGTTGCAGGAAGTCAGCAGCCTCATCACGAGAGCGTGTGTTGTCCCACGGGTGTCAACTGGTGCTCCTTGTTCCTTTCCTTGTACACTTCAAAGAAAGATGTGTAGCCATTCTTGTTGTCACACACACACACCAGTTTTACACCGAACCTGGCATTACGCTTCTGGGGCATGAACTAACGTAGATTGGGTGTCTTTCCTTTGAATCCCACCATGCAATGAGGAATACAAGGCAATTAAATAAAAGACCTACTTCTTCCTGCACGAACATGTACACCTCGTCGCCAGACTCGTACCCCTCGTCCTCGTCATTAAAGTCCATTTTGAGACTGTCTGTCTGAATGTCGGAGAGCAAGTATTAGCACACCGGTCTGTTCTGTGAAAATTCCTTGACTGGCGGGAATTGAGGTGACAGACTCCATCTCAGAAAGGTAGGTGTGGCTTATGGTGAAAAATCGCTTTTCTTGTTGTTTCAAGACGTCGCCATGTGTTTACAATTCATGAGTGCCATAGCTTGTGATTACTGAGGTTTTGAAGTGACTATGGCAGTATCTCGCAATATAAACTTAACTGATTATTGGTTTTCTTATTCCTTTTAAATTCAACTTCCAGTAAAACTACCATAAAATTGACGAACATGGCTTTGAAGCAAATGTGTGTGTTACATGACATGATGTTATACCGGTACTGTCATTTCTGATCCACGAATTCTCTCGCTTGAGTTCTCGCGTGAGTTCGGATGTGCATGTTCCGATATGTAGCATCTGGCTATATACAGGTATATAGTATCAGGATTACTGATTTTCAGGACTATTTAGTACCTGTCTGTGTCCATCTTACGTTGCAAAGCTCCCTAACCGGACTTTAGATCTATGGATTTTAATGGAGAGGTCACTCACAGTCACGTGAGTATAACTCACCAATCACGCCACAAGGACAAAGCAAAGATGGCGGCCATATTCACATTTCTTTTCGAGGGTATGACCAGAAAATTGTCTGATGGAGTGTTAATGTTATAGGAATTCAATTAAATAGATTAAAGCACTTTCTGGCTATAATTTTTTTCCAGAAGATAGCAGAGCTCTATTCATTTATCTTAGTTCAATGTAGATGCAAATAAAAGCAGCAACAACACTTAAGTGCAGGGGTCTATTCGTTCATTTCACCATGTTTCTTCTGTGATTACTTAGTGAACTATTTGACAACGACTAATGTGTAACATTACAGGTGTATGTCATATGCTAAGGTTACTACAACAAAAGAGTCATCTGTTTATGGCATGTATATACTATATTTTTAAACTTTGTGACCTGGCAATTAAATACAATTACATACGATTCTTTGGATGAACTTGTCAATGTCTTGGGCTTGAAATGATTGCCATCTTTTCAAGAGTGCATTAGCCGACTCACAACTGTTTTGGTTGTACAGGTAACGGGTCTCATCAGTTCTTTTAGCACTGGGAAAATCTGACGTCTGCAGTACTTTACAAACTTTTCAATTGAACTTTTGGAGGGCTGGTTTAACATTCCCCAGATCGTTTCGAGCAGCCATGGTCAAAGTCTTCATGATGTTTTGCAAGATGCTTAAAGTCTTCAACTATATTTGATGTTACAGATGACGGAATACCCAGTTTTCTACAAATGTTATTAGCATGTATTCAACACCCAGAATGACCCACATTTGAACGTGACATCTGCCGATAGAAATGTTGATTTGTCAATTGTGCAAAAAGATGATATGTCATTAAGCTGTCTTTTGTTGAATAAGAAATGTACACTGGATGTTGGTGATTTGGTGAAGCCTTGATAAAATGTTCCACAAACCCCTTGCTCCTGAATTGACATCAACGACAAAACTCTATATTTACATAGGGTATAGAATATATTTACAGTTTAACACCGAACCTGGCATGACGCTTCTGGGGCATGAACTAACGTAGGTTGGGTGTCTTTCCTTTGAATCCCACCATGCTCTCATCAATCGAGATCTCCGTGCCAGGATGATAGTGGCGGAGGAAGACTTGCGGGCGGCCTCGTTGGAGCGGGCGGTCCCGTCGGGAGCGGGCGGTCCCGTCGGGGCGGCTGGAACGGGAGGGGCGGCTATAGCAGCCGGGATGGCTGGAGCAGGCGGACCGGTTGAAGCATTAATATATTGGTTTCTGTTTCATGTAGCTTGTTATCATTACACAGTTACTTATGGGCATTTTAGTATGTACATGTGTCTTGGTTGCATTGATTATTCTATAATTGATGTATCATGTTCCAAAGATAATCGAAAGCATTGTTGTTCGTAAAACATTTATTCAAGTACACTTAGGAAAACTGCAGAGGAAGGGAGGATGACCATTGAATAGACCTTACGGACAACACAGCTTTGCCGAAAAGGCCACGTAGAAAATAATGTGTTCATACACTTAGGTCTTTCTATTGATTCTAAGCTATCTAGAGTTGAATATTGGTCCATAAAGTAGGTAAAGCATTTTTGTGCTTTAAACATTTATTGTAAAATAGTTTAACAAGCAAACTACACTGTACTACATTGCTTTAGCTGCCCAATGCTTAAAATGCGTTCAAAGGAAGAAATTGTACCCCTGTCAAGATTGTAAAAGCACAAATGAAAGATAAGCTGCAGTCTTACATAATGTAGTATGTACAAAAATATATATCACATTACTTGTCCAAAGATTTTCTAAGGGACTTCTCGCCCTTGTTGGAGGCAAAGTCAGAGTTCTTGCGTTTTTGTACTAGAATGTACACATCTGCAAAAGCACGGTATCGTAGGTTTACATAGTACAACAGAACCACTTCTAGCCAATTCTTGCTGAGTTTTTCCTCAGGTATGTGGCTACTGGCAATCTCACACCAATAGTGGTTTACTGTGTAGCTTGACTCTAGATTCTTCATGATTTCCTCCCTTAGCCCTTGAAGCCTACCCTGGGAGAACTGCTCGAAGTTGGCTGTACATCTAACAACATTCTCAACATGGCGGAAGAATATATACACTGTGTCAGATACCACAAAGAGACCGCCTCGGTTTACCTCGTTAATCCATCCTTCAGTATACTTGAGGAAGGTGGTATGCGTGTTTTGTTGAGGACACTTTCCACTGTTGTAAGATAGTAGCATACAGTTGTGCAACCTTGTTTGTGTGTAGTAAAAAATGGGGGTTAAAGGTCAATGCGGCAAAATGTAAAGTTATCACTAGTGAGGAAACAGATAACATCATGATAGAAGACACAGCAGTTGAGAAGGTCCCTGAATTTGTCTTTCTTGGAAGTGTTGTCCCTGGCACGACTAGCGACATTAAGAGGAGGATAGCGCTTGCTGCCTCTGCATTTGGTAGGCTCAGAAAAACAGTATGGAACCGAAGGGACATTAGCAAAAACCTCAAAGTACGGCTGTTCCAAGCACTTATCCTGCCAATTGCTACATATGCATGTGAAACATGGACCCTGAAAAAATCGGACGAACTTCTACTGCTATCCTTTGAAATGAGATGCTTAAGAGTGATACTCTGCATCACCCTGAGGGACCGCATCCCAAATGCAGAAATCCGGTCAAGACTTGGGGCGGAACAAACCATCACTGATAGGATACGCACTAGAAGGCTCAGATGGTTTGGGCATGTGATGCGAAGACCGACAAACACCCTAGTTTATAAGGCATACCACCAGGACTTCCAAAACCCTAGACCCCGGGGAAGACCACCCAAGAGGTGGAAAGATCAGATCCAGAGTGACACAGGGATTACTCTAAGTGTAGCTGAGGCTATCGCTCTTGACAGAACTGGTTGGAGGAACCTGACGGAGGGGAGCAAGGGGCCAGTACCTGGCCTGGGCACTTAGGCAGGTAGGCAGGTTTGTGTGTAGTCTCCTGTACCTTTGAGTAAAGCATATGGGATAAACCCAGCTATATACCTGACTACCTGCTCTTCCTCACTTGTCAGCTTAGTATCAACATTTGGAGTATCATCAAGCATAGGGGCATCTACAATGTGCCTCTTCTTCAATAGCCCCTCGAAGATTTTTTTTCTGTCAAGAACAGTTGTAACAGGGGTTATGGCGAGCTCAGTCCTTGTGTTGAACGTCCTTGCTCCGAATGAAAGGGCAGAATGGAGTGCGCGCGCGCCTTATGAGGAGTGGTTGATGACGTCATTTCGGATGATCAATCACAGTGCAGTGAAGATAGCGTTTCGATAATGACTACTGGAATGTGAAAATATATTTCTCCTGGGAGAACGCTTTATGCTAATAACGTAAACTCCGACGTGAAATCCTCTCTACACGACGAAAAAAAGCTAACCGTCGGCAGTCCCGACATCTGCAGTTCCACTGTAGTGAAAAACTGCGTAAACTGGGCCTTAGATAAACCCTTAGTGAGCCTACCGACCCACGCCACCGAATAAGGCCACACCAAGTAAATTTAATGGATGACGTCCTTTGGAGACTCCAAATCTAATGCGAGAGGGCGAAAAAAAACCAAGAAGGGCCCAAAAAAACAAGATGCCTAGATTAGAAATATACTAAGAGACAACAGATGTTAGGACACAAATTGAATGAGGTGACACAGTGTAACAAGCAAGAAGTCTTTTATTCATCATCAAAACAGCAATAAATCAGGTGGAACGGCAGTTGTCGTCCTGTCACATTTTTGCAGGCCTGCAGAAACAAAGCATAAAAGGCAAAATTAGTTGCTGATTAACCCTTTGCATGCATTACTGCATTTCTACCTATGCAAATAGTCTATAGGAGCTTTTGAGAAAGAATATCAATAAAGGTGGAACCAAACAAAATATGTTTAGAACTATTCTACATAAGTTGCATAATGTATTTATGTAGGTAACAAATGTATGCCTACCTGACAAACAGGGTTTATTGTCTGGTATGCAGCTGAGTCTTCTCTGCCAGTATGGGCAGCGTTTCCTCCTCACCGCAGTTCCAGCACACCAAAGGCAGCATCGTCTTCATCACCCCTGACTTCAGTCTGGCTGAATAGTAGTACTGTGCTACTGGTGAAGTGCATGTCACTGCACTACATGAAACAGGTGGAAAATTATGGAACAATAGTCAATTGTGCTAAAATCCAACTCTTCAGAAAAATTTTTTTTTTCAACATAAAGGCTTAGGTTATATGTTGTAGTTAAATGTACGTCTTTACTGTCCCCAAAGTGCCTTAAATTTAAAGGGTATATTCTGCAACAATCCATATCAAATGTACCTCACTACTCACCTGTGTTGTTATTGCTACATTGTTGTGTGCTCCCAGTCCCAGCATAGGCTGGAAACATCCACTCCTGCTGACCTTGTTCTCCTGATGCTTTCATCATACCTGTATACATGTACAATGTACATGTGAAAAGAAAAGTGAACCTTCTGTTCCTAGTTCACAATGAGTCTTAATGCAATCAAAGAAATGGAAGAGCAGACAACGTTACTAAATTGGATATCAAAGCTAAAATGATGGGGAAAAAGAATTCTTAAGAAAATTTAGACTAAAAATCCCCCCCCCCAAATAGTACTTAAAAAAGAGCTTTGAGCTTGAATGCGTAGTTTGTTGACAGCTATAGATGCCAAAATACCTTACAAATCCGACTGAAAATTAGCAATTTACGTGCCAAATGTGGACCAAAAATTTAAGAAGAATAAAAAAACACATATTTTGCCAACATCAAGTATAAATAACCAGAAACGAATAAACGATCATAATTATCCATGCAAAACACATGCAAGGAGCCTTGATACATGTATGCATTTATTTTATACTCCCCTTCTAAGAATATTTCACCCGTGTTTTTCCGTACAAGGTACTCGATTTAAAACAGACTTCTCATACCTCAAAGCAGTCTTAGTAAGTTAGGCCTAGGAACAGCTTCAGTCGTAGCAGCTGTCTTGTCGATCAGCATACGGATGAAACACCCGAACTGCCGGAGTAAACCTCAATGCTTCTCCCGACCTTCTCGTCATTTGCAGAAGAATATTTGCACTGTAGTGTGGCTGATCTTGACAAAACTTGCTTGAAAATTGTATGGTCGAAACTCACTCGCCGCTACAGGTCCCTCGTACAGTTGCGCAAAAGTTGGCTCTCCCTGGCTGACATCGAGCGCGTACCAGTCAACAACAATGTTTCCGCACGCTTTCACAACCTGAACGCTCACATATTAGCGACCAAGGGTGGTGAGCCCACCATCTTGCTTCTTTGAACTGTGGCGCGCGGACTCTTGTGCGCACGTACACCATCATTTTGCGGCACATGTGCTCTTTACCCATTTCGCGTTACGGGTTTCACGTCAATCTGACGATTTGCAGCACTGTCGTGACTCTTTGGCCCAAGTTACAGGAAGCGGAATTTCTTGTTTGCCTGAGGCTATTGACAGGATCGTCCTGTCAATAGCAGAAAATATTGCACTGCTGACAGGACGATCCTGTCAATAGCAGAAAATACTGCACTGCTGACAGGACGATCCTGTCAATAACAGGAAATACTGCACTGCTGACAGGATCGTCCTGTCAGCAGTGCCATTTTTGGCACTATTGACAGGATTTTTTAAATCTTCCATTTTGGGCTGTATTGACATGATTTCTTCATGTTTTCATTTTTTTTAACCATGTATTCATTTTTTTTCAGTCAGAAGGCATATGCTACTGTACTGTAGATTATAAAAAGAGTATAGCTAGCCAGGGGAGTTGGTCGGCCATAGAGGGTCGACTTTTTATTTTTTTCTACTATTTATTCAGCCTGCAAAAGAGTCTGGTGGAGACTACGCAGGGAATACCGTACTGTTGTGTTGCCCGCCTACTCGGCTGATCGGAGACCCCAGGGCCTGGGGGACTCCTTCACACATCAGTAAGCTATCACCTCGGGGTCCCCTCATGGACCAAGCAACACACGTCTATACTTAAATAACTGAAGGAAGTCAATTTGCTGGAATTCGTCTATAGCAATGCTGTAGTTAGCCTGGATGGCATCCAGGCTAGGCCATATTGTTTATACGGTGGCTGTTCTTGATTGCAGGGTAAGGTTTCGAGTAGACCTTGTCCGCCATCCTTTCACCCCGACGCGCTGTCTCGTACCCGCCGGTGGGCCGCTGTGTCATTCCCGCGGCGCCGGCCGTAATGCCCCGACTAGCCTCTACCAGGCACCGCGGATCGCTGGAAAAATAGTAGAAATTGGCCGAAATAAAGGGCGCTACCGAGCGGGGGATCAATGTATGCACGACGATCTGCAGGGGCCGCAGCGCAGGATCGTAAAAAATGGCCTAATAGCATAATCATACTAGTAATAACACCTACATAAGACCTACACGAACCAGCGCCCACCCCAAAATTTCCAGTATGAAATAAAAATACCAAAATTTTATCGATCCTGTCAATAGTAGAAAAATTTGCACTGCTGACAGGAAAAATCCTAGTCAGCAGTGCAAATTATTCTACTATTGACAGGACGATCCTGTCAGCAGTGCAATATTTTCTGCTATTGGCAGGACGATCCTGTCAGCAGTGCAATATTTTCTGCTATTGACAGGACGATTCTGTCAGCAGTGCAATATTTTCTGCTATTGACAGGACGATCCTGTCAATAGCCACAGGCTTCTTGTTTACCGTTTTCTAGGAACAGGCCAAAAACCAATGCGCGCGCGGACGTCATCCATAAAATTTACTTGGTGTGGCCTAACCTCCACAGACAGGATGTACACAAGTGCCGCCGAAAGTAGAGCGGACAAGAACGCAGCATCTAGTAACAACTGACCAATTTTAAACAATTTCCACCATTTTCGTATTGTGTTATATTTGTTAGGTAATTATTCGGATAATATTTGTTTCGTATAAGTTAGTTGTTGGCACACACGATATCTGACCAGTTTCGCGGCGGATGGATACAGGTAGATTTCCCGTCGCTTAACCACCCAGTTTTAGTCGGAGAGGAAGGGCGCTGGCGAGAGGTGGGTAGTCCATACTTTCCTCAAATATCCTTACAAACTGTTGCTTTTGTGACGGTAACTTTGCGTAGGATGTATCTACGAGATGCTATGGTTACTCGACAAGTTGTAATTGAGGAAAGCCGATCGATGCTGTCGTTTGTTGAGCCACTGTTTGTGAATTATATGTCTAGCCGCACCATCTTGTCAGTTAGTCCAAACCCTTAATGTCTAGTCCAAACCTTTTGTCCCTCTTCTTCAGTTTACTAGTATTTTCTTCTGAACGTCTTGCACAAACTTTGTAGCAATACGACCGTTTGTAACTGTTCACGACAATGCTATAAATCCAAGATTCATGTGTAAGGGAAAGAAAAACTAAGGCAGGGCGCGGCTGACATCTGTGATGGATTATCTTGTTTACGTGTTGGCGGTTGGGAGCTGTGTACTTGGCAATACTTTAGGAAGACTTGTTACAAATAATTACACAGCCCAACACATATATTTTGTATGGGTGACTTTTATGTAGTCTTGTGTTTATTCATGCAAAAAAAAATATTTTAATTAGTTATATTTTAGAGAATTATTTGTTTTCTGGTCGTTGCAAACTTAAAATGATACTAATCCTGGTTCTATATCTTTGTGTTTTCTCTACAGCAACACTTGAGATGAACACCAAACAACATTGGTTAGCTGCGAGGACCAGTCCATGTAGCGCACCAGTATCGCGTACACAGAAATTTATTTATGAAAATCAATTCATCACAGCTTGCAACATCTGAGTTGTATTGCCTGGTGATGGTGGCAGCAAGTTGTCGACGTATCACTGAAGTTATTTGATTGGCTTGTGACAGAACATTAGCTAACTTATGGGTTGTTAGGTTTAGATCTATTCTTGCAGCTGTCCAGCCTCTTGGAAACCCAGACTTCGGGGACTGTGCCTTGGCTCAGTGGGGGCTGGTTCAGCTTAGATGAATTTGTTGGATGTCACAGCCATTAGTAGTGGTTTGCTGTTTATTTTTGCTCTAGTCGACAAGGTTTGACATACAGCCTTTATGATGTACCAACTATGTTTGGTGTGTAGGGTGTGATGGTCGGAGTGGCTGGGCAAAATACTGTCTCCATGTCCCAGTGTCAAATTTAGAGAAATTGTTAACGGCCGCACTTGGAGTTTGTCCTGATCGGGACGCGGGACTCCCCGTCACGTCCGTTACTCAGAGACTTACAGCAAGTGAAATTTTGTGGTTTCCGCTGCTCAAACTAATAACTACTTCACACTCTCGGGGTGTGATAGATTAGAACTAATAACCGGTAGGGTCTGGACCCTGTCAGAGACTCGGATCTCTGGAGCTTATCAGATATTTCAATATAACTTAACAGTATACTAACGGCCCACGCCGGTTGTTAGTCGTGCTGTGCACATTAGTTATGTCACTCTTCATTATCGTGATCGGCTGTCGACGCTAATTATAGTGATAGGGCGGGCTCCTTACACCCCCCCCCCCCTTGCTTTAAACAAGCGACGTCCTCGGCGCTGCTATTGGGTTCCGTCTGTACACCGCTGCGGACTTAGCCGAGAAGCTACCGTGATGGTTGAGTGGTTCAGACAAAGGAGTCAGTCAAAGTCCCATTTCGACGATTTTTTCTCCTGAATCCAACGTAACAATTCCGGTGGCCGAACAACACAGAATGGCACGTGGCGGGGCTTCACCCGAATAGCAAGTCCTCTGTCTGAATCACGAGTATTCTGTCTTTTGGATAACTGTTTCTCGAATTTAACCTCTAGATTCTGGTTCACGTCCATGGCCAAATTAGGCGCAACTTGTCAAAAATAGTGCAATCTGATTGGAAGCCGAAAATGAGTATGTTGTAGACTTAATTCATCAAATACAGAATGAGGTATGTATAGATTTGTCAGCTTGTCATAAGGAAGACAGGCGCAATTTTCTACACCATCAAAAAACTGCATGAACTCCAGACGGGTGGGACGCAATTTCGTATAGGGGTTCCGTTTTAGCCAAAGGTCTTGGTAGTAGTCAAAAAGGCCTCGAATACAGTCTTGGAATTCGTCGTAATCCGCGTATGTTTTAGTGCTGGGGTCGCTAGTCAGTTGGATCAACAAAATCGTATGTCCCATGACCTGGTCTATTCAACTTCAGAGTACATACCTCCTAGGCTATCACAACGAACACGAATAAATAAGTTAGCTGCAACCCGACTAACTCAACACTCAACTCCGAAATACTGACTAACTTCCTCACAACATACAACAGGTGCCTATAAGATCAGCATCTATCACATAACAACATATCCTAACTTAGTTTCGGCAACATAATACAACACTCAAGTTCTAATTGCGACAGTGGCGATCAGTTACTGGGCGAATGTCATGCTATGCTCCATCTACCAAGACAACAAAGGTCCTCACCTTGTCCTGATGGTCCGGGACGGTTCGTCTTCGTCTCTGCTCTCTCTGTCCGTTCTGGTCCCGGTCTCGATGTAGCTGGATCCCTCTCTCGGCTGGAGTAGATCGTCCTTCGTCTCCAAGTGGTTTCC